ACCCCAGATGCTACTCACCAAGGTAGAATGTAGAACATTGTCTTTATAAACTGTGTTATGGCAATTGAGCTAGATGTTCCCCGAGACCATGGTCCCCACAACCCTCCACCCAGCAATTCAGTCCCTCAGGGAAGTCTAGTCTTTTTTCATGAATTTGAATTCTGTTCTACATTTTTTTCCCACTCTGTCCAGGACTCTCTGTTGTGATCCCTGTCAGAGTGGTCGCTGGTGGTAGCCAGGCACCATCTAGTTCTTCTGGGCTCAGGCTGGTGGAGTCTCTGGTTCATGTGGTCCTTTATTCTTCTACAGTATCTAACCTGCTGTAAATGACACTCAATATATTTTTCATTTTTAGAAATTTCATTCTGGTCTTTTTTCACATTTCTATTTCTCTCCTCACTATGTTTAAGTTTTCTTTTACATCCTTAAACTTATTTATAAGATGTATAATACCTGTTTTAAGGTCTGTCATGGTTTGAATTATTTCCCCCAAAAAATGTGTGTATCAATTTGGCTAGGCCATGATTCCTGGTACTGTGTGATTTTCCTGTATGTTGTAAACCTGCCTCTAAGATGTTAATGAGGGAGGATGGGTAGCAGTTGTGTTCGTAAGGCAGGACCTGATCTACAAGACTGGATTGTGTCCTGAGGCAATCTCTTGAGATATAAAAGACAGAAGTGAGCAGTGAACAGGGGGACCTCATACCATCAAGAAAGCAGTGCCAGGAACGGAGCGCGTCCTTTGGACCGGGGTCCCTTGGCCGAGAAGCTGCTAGTCCGGGGGAACACTGATGAGAAGGCCGAGAAGAAGAGAAAGCCTTCCCCTGGAGCTGACACCCTGAATTTGGACTTTTAGCCTACTTTACTATAAGGAAATAAATTTCTGTTTGTTAAAGCCATCCACTTGTGGTATTTCTGTTGTAGCAGCACTGGATGACTAAAACAAGGTCTTTGTCTCTGAATTCCATCATCGCTGTCATTTCTGAGTCTATTTCTATTGATTGATTTTTTTTTCTCCTGGTTATGTTATTTTTTCCTGCTTCTTTGGGTACCTGGTAATTTTTTTTGTTTTTTCATTGTACTTTAGATGAAGGTTTACAGAACTAGCTTCTCATTAAAAAATTAGTACACATATTGTTTTGTGACATTGGTTGCCAACCCCACGACATGTCAACAGTTTCCCTTCTCGACCTTCGGTTCCCTATTACCAGCTTTCCTGTCCCCTCCTGCCTTCTTGCCTTGCCCTTGGGCTGGTGTGCCCATTTAGTCTTGTTTTGTTTTATGAAACTGTCTAATCTTTGGATGAAGTGTGAACCTCAAGAGTGACTTCATTGCTGAGGTGAAAGGGTGTCCAGGGGCCATAGTTTCTCCAGTCTGTCAGACCAGTAAGTCTGGTCTTTTTTTGTGTGTGTGTGTGAGTTAGTATTTTGCTCTACATTTTTCTCCAGCTCTGTCTGGGACCCACTACTGTGATCCCTGTCAAAGCAGTTGGTGGTGGTAGCCAGGCACTATGTAGTCAGTCTGGTGGGGTGCCTGGTAATTTCTGAATGTTATCAGGCATTGGGCATTTACGTTGTTGAATGCTGGATTTTGTTATGTTCTTGTAAAGAATGTTGGATTTTGTTCTGGCATGCAGTTAAGCTCCTTTTGGATTTGTTTTATCCTTTTAAAAGTTCCCTTTAAGCTTTTTTATGGGGGGTTCATAGCAGCTTTTATTCTGGTAGTTATTTAGCCCCCCAGTAAGATGTGACCATGCTGAGAACTCTACGCAGTCCCCTCTGTATTACAAGGTCTCTCCAATCTGGCTTGCAGGAACACAAACTATTCTTAGCCCTGTGTGAGCTCTAGGCATTGTGCAGCTTCTGCTTTTCAGGTGATTCTTCCCCTGGTCTCAGGGAGTTTTCTCCCTGCCGGCACAAATCTGTACTCAGGCAAAACCCAAGGGGACCCCAATGAAGATCTCCGAAGCTCTGTCTCTCTCCAGCTTCTTCATCTCTGGAACTCTGCCTCATAAATCCTAGCCATGCTGGCCTCCCCAAATTCTTGACGTATGCCTCCTCAATTCAGTGAGACAACTGGGTTCCATTTCTGCTTCCCCTCTCTGCACTGAAGTCTGGAAACTGCCTTGAGGCAATAAACTGGAATAATCATATTCAAACAATCTTGCTTCCTTCTTTCAGGAATCACAGCTTTACACGGCCTGTTTTCCAATGCCTGAAAACCAGTTTCATTCATTTATATAATACATACAGGCAGTCCCTGAATTATGAATGAGTTCCATTCCAAAGTCTGTCTTTAAGTCGAAATTGTACGTAAGTCAGAACAGTTAGGTACAGTTCATATCTAATGTCAGTCAAATGTTCTCAGTATATAGTATATAGTGTACCTTTCTATGCATAAAAAACATTGAAGAAACACTTTCACATACACAAAAATATCTTTAACATAATAATACAGTAAAAATAATAATGTTTTGATGCATGTCGCAAAGTAATGCCCATTTGTTATTATGAGTCATTGTATATATCTTAAATTTTTAATATAAGAGGCTTTACGGGAATTGGTTTGTAATTACGGGTTGTACATAAGTTGGGCGTTTGTAACCCAGGGACTGCCTGTATATTATATTATATGTATGTATACACATATATATATTTTGTGTTTGTTTTCTAGTTTGTTTTCAGCAGGGGGGTAATTCCCTTAGCAGTTAATTCTTCAAGGGCAGAAGAAAAAGTTTCCAAGGCTTCTTTAGAGGTTATGCCTATCTGTAATTCTCATGTCTTCATTCATAGCCCTATTCCCATTCACAACCTAAATTAGTGGGCTGAGGTATCCGAGATATATTAAGTAATCTGAGAGAGAGAGAGACTAGGTACAAGTAATGAGCCTAATGCTGTGATAGAGAATGTGCTGTCTACAAACCTGAATTCTAGCCTCATTTCGGTCACTAACTGACGGTGTGATTTTGGTGATTTAACATCACAATCCCTCAGTTTCCTCACCTGTATAACAGTTTCCTCACCCCATGTAACAACTGTGGAATAAGACTATGGATGCTACTTCCACAAAACACTGTTATTCTTTTCTTCACTTCCTTTTAAATACATTTCCCCTAGCTAACACCTCCTCAGGGCAAAGCTATAGCTGGCCAAATTCCTTAGAATGCTTTCTACCCTAAAAGAACCTAATTGGTACTCAGCTATGAAATTTCTGTCATGCCACAACGTTAGTTATAATAGCATAACCAAAACACAAGGACCTGATTTAATATTAACTGGATTCTGTGCTAAGTTCCAAATAAAAGTTATTTCTCTTCTATATTTTATGCAAGAATGTCAGAGAACCAAAACTCTTTCTTGTTCATCAAGCCTATAAATATTCAAATAAATGCTTATCTTCAATTCCATCTAAAGAATTTATAGAAAATATTTATTATCTTTATCATTGATACCAAGACCATGTATCAACTTCTTTCTGTTAATTTCTAGTCTTATAGCACACCTCAAATATAGCATCTAGCTCGCTAAATTTATCTCCTTATGCAATTAAAGAAGAATCTTTACATCTGACAAAGGCATTTTCTACTTCCACATTGAGCCAAAGGAGCCACGTTATTAGTAAACAATATGTTAGTGGTAGTTTGGTTGACACCTTTACCCAGGTCAGATTCTTCTCCATATACTCACTTGTGGTTTTTCTAGCCCAAGCCTTTAATTTCCCTCTCCCTTTCTCTATCTCTGTCTGTCTCTTTGTGTCTTTGTGCCTCTATCTCTCATGGCTAAGTATTCTTTCTCATACCCAGGGAACTGAAAGAGTACCAAAGAGTAGAGCAGAGTATGATGGATGTCATGGATTGAATTGTGTCCCCCGCAAAATATCTGTCAACTTGGCTGGGTCATGATTCCCAGCATTTGTATGATTGTGTACCATTTTGTAATCTGATGTGATTTCCTTATGTGTTGTAAACTCTATCACTATGATGTAATAAGATGGATTAGTGGCATTTACACTGATGAGGTCTACAAGATTAGACAGTGTCTTAAGCCAATCTCTTTTGAGACATAAAAGAGAGAAGCAAGCAGAGACACATGGGAACCTCACACCACCAAGAAAGCAGTGCTGGGAGCAGAGCGCATCCTTTGGACCTGAGGTTCCTGTGCTGAGATCCTCCCAGACCAAGGGAAGACTGGTGCATTACAAGGACCTTCCTCCAGAGCGGACAGAGAGAGAAAGCCTTCTCCTGGAGCTGATGCCCTGAATTTGGACTCGTAGCCTACTGGACTGTGAGAGCATAAACTTCTCTTTGTTAAAGCTATCCTCATGTGGTATTTCTGTTATAGCAGCACTAGATGACTGAGACAGTGCAAAACTACAATCAGCCATTACCTGATGAGATGCAGCAGGCAGACTCTTTACTAGACCTTCTGTGTCGGAGGAAGACTTCTGTGGAGCCTGCTTAACCAGTGACAAACTCTCTCTGATGTACTGCCATGGATAAGCTGGCAATTCGGGGAACAGATGTAAAAAAAATTAAAATAAATGCAAACAAAAATATAGAAATGCAAGTGATGGCAAGATGAAGCAGTAGATGTATAAAAACAAAAGACAACAAAACAATGGGTATCAAAATGATCACATGCCTTGAAACTATTTTCTGTATCTGACATGGACTCATTCTTCTATATCAATGAACCTATCACTGGAGGAGGCACAGAAACCAATGTGGTACAAAACCACAACTCTTACCAAGTTTACAATAATAATATCCACTGAATGGGATTCTGGTCACAGTATACATTCACCCTTTTGCTGCTTTGTCTTTTCCCCGTGGCATCAGTCCTCCTTTGGGATACAGGTTTAAAGGAGCAAGCTACACCTTCTTAATGGCTTATTGGCAGTTTCCCTTTGTGATCAGCAAAGGCAAACCTCTTCTGAATATATTCCAAAAATTACAGATATAGATCCAGTCTAGTAGTCTCTGCTCATTTCATCCTCTCAGTTCCCTAATTCCCTATATTGTGGGTTCCCACACCATACCACAACCAAACCAAAAAAAATCCAGGAAGTCATGAATGATCAGAACACTAAGGAATGCCACTCACATGGGCTTAACTTTTTCAGGGGCACAGATGTCTTTAACAACAAGCATTACACCTCATCTATAAATAAGTGAAAGTGAATGGCAGGAGGTAACTTATTAGGGGCTCCCTGATGGGATCTTTCAGCAGTAGAGCTTAAGTCTTTTATGATGTTATTTAAAAAAAAAATTCTTAGGAGTTTGGGGAGGATCATATTTAAAGTCTCAGGACATGTTACTAATACTAAAGTACACCATGCATTCTTCAAACTGTGTGTCTCTAAAGTGGGAAGCTGTATGCTAGAGCCAAAATGGTTCATTATTCCAATACAGAGAGGGTTTCAATTATTAATTATACAATTCATATATGAAAAAAGAAAACTAAACACACATACACAAAGGCATTTTACATGAAGAACATATATATACAGATAATCATCAAGCCTCTACATAATCTGACAATCCAATTTCATCAGGATGGTATGCTCAACATCTTTCAGATACAAACATGTAACATATCTTTGTATAAACCATAATAGCTTTTGGTTTAGCTCAGAGCTAGCTGGTTAGTTGTCAACAAAAGAGATGGACTGAATACGTACACATGAATATTAACAGCACCAGGCAATGTGATTAGCTACCATGTGTCTAGTGGGAGTGGAAGAGTAGATCCAGCCTTGTGTCGTCTGTGTCAGCTTTTCTTAAGAAGTGGAAGATAAGCAGCACCTGATCCCAGCACACCAAGGTGGAAAAGGCTGGGAAGGGAAAAAAAAAAAGAAAACAAAAAACAAGGTAACATGAATAGCAGCATTCACATTCACGATGCCATGCAGGATTCTAAGGAACACTTTTCTGCCCCTTTATTAAACCTAAAGCAAGGACTACAGAGACTAGCATGTCACCCCTTTGGATCAGTCTCATGTTGGAAACCAATAATTCAGTTATACATCTAGTCATGAAGCATTCACCATGCAAAGGGGCAGATATAGCCTACAGAATAGAAGCATTCTGAGCAAGTAATATCTGAATTTAAACACTCAAACTCATTAAAACACAGCACTGCTAAAAACTCTAGAGTAGCAAAACCCATAGACAGGTTTTCACAGTCTACCAGCAAGAGTTCAGGGTATGCAGCCCTCCCGGATCACAGCCCGTTCAGAAGTGTTAAGGTTAGATCTGTGCGCCTGTGAAACTGCTTGTGCTGCATCAGCTTGAATCCAGCCTTCACTTTCAGTCTTACCACAGGAGTTCTAAATAGCTTATTACGAGTTTAGCTTTCCAGCTGGAGTGAGGAAAAGATAACATCCTTCAATTAGACACACAGCCTACGCTCACATGTTATTTTCAGACCCTATAGACAAAGAGAAACTTTACTTTTCTTCATTGCTGGTATATTTTTGTGTTCAACTCTTCTTATCACAGTTTGGGCAAATCCAGCCATGCATTCAAGGATGATCAAAGCAATAAAACTGCTTAAGCTTGGGATGAGGGCTAGAGGAGTCTACAAAAGGCAAAACCCTGCATCATCACCTCAGGCAGGGAGTAGTTTATTAACACAGCTTCTTCTTGATTAGAGTTTTATATTCACCAAATTGAAAAGAAGAACCTTATGAGATTATTGCCAAGAAGTTCAAATTAACTCTTAAGTTAGGTAAAGGATGCCTGTGGCTTAATACCACTAACTGCAGAGTGAATGGTACTGAAACAGAGTATAGACTGCTGAGCACTAAACCTAAGAAGGAAACTACATAACAGGGATTAGTGATTCCACTGACTTCTGCTTGCTCATGTCAGAATACCTCTGCAGGAGACTACCCAACTCTGGTATGAGAGCAAACAGTAGTTAATTCTTCACAATTCTTTTTCCATAAAAAATAACAAAGTTTTTATTAACCCTGATTCCTTCCCTCCACCCACCCCTAAAAAGCAGTGTCTCAATTCCACCCAAAGCAATTTACAAATACAATGCAATCCCAATCCAAATACCAACAACGTTCTTTAAAGAGAAGGAAAAACTAATCATTAACTTTATATGAAAAGGGGAGAAGCCCTGGATAAGTAAAGCACTATTGAAGAAGAAGAACAAAGTAAGATAACTTGCACTACTAGGCTTCAGACCCTACTACACAGCTACGGTAGTCAAAACAGCCTGGTACTGGTACAACAACAGACACATTGACCAATGGAACAGAATTGAGAACCCAGATGTAAATCCATCCACTTACATTCACCTGATCTTCAACAAAGGCCCAAAGTCCATCAAATGGGGAAAAGACAGTCTATTTAACAAATGGTGCTGGCAGAACTGGATGTCCATTAGCAAAAAAAAGAAACAGCACCCATACCTCACAGAATACACAAAAACTAATTCAAAATGGATCAAAGACCTAAATATAAAGCCAAAAACTATATAAAGTTCATAAAAGAAAAAATAGGATCAATGCTGGAGGCCCTAATACATAGCATTAACAGGATACAAACCATAACTAACAACACACAAACTCCAGAAGATAAGCTAGATAACTGGGATATTCTAAAAATTAAACACATAGGCTCATCAAAAGACTTCACCAAAAGATAAAAAAATTTTTGGCTTATACAAACCCGACAAAGGTCTAATCTCTAAAATCTATAGAAAAATCCAATACCTCTACAACAAAAAAAATAATCCAATTAAAAAATGGGCAAAGGAAATGAACAGACACTTCACCAAGGAAGACAGTCAAGCGACCAACAGACACATGAGGAAATGCTCATGATCACTAGCCATTAGAGAAATGCAAATCAAAACCACAATGAGATACCATTTCACCCCGGCATTACTGGCACAAATGAAAAAAACAGAAAATAACAAATGTTGGAGAGGCTGTGGGGAGATTGGAACTCTTATGCACTGCTGGTGGGAATGCAAAACGGTACAACCATTTTGGAAAATGATATGGGGCTTCCTTAGAAAACTAGAAATAGAAATACCATATGATTCAGCAATCCCACTCCTAGGAATACACCCTAGAGAAATAAAAGCCATCGCACGAATAGACATATGCACACCCATGTTCACTGCAGCATTGTTCACAATAGCAAAAAGATGGAAACAACCTAGTTGCCCATCAACAGATGAATGGATAAACCAACTATGGTACATACACACAATGGAGTATTATGCAACAATGAAGAACAATGGTGAATCTGTGAAGCATTTCACAACATGGATGAATCTGGAAGGCATTATGCTGAGTAAAATAAGTCACTCACGAAAAGACAAATATTGTATGAGACCATTACTATAAAAATTCATGAATAGGTTTACACACAAAAAGAAACAATCTTTGATGGTTACGAGGGCGGGGAGAGGTGGGGATGGAAAAACACTAAACAGACAATAGATAAGTGGAAAGTTTGGTGAAGGGTAAGACAGTACACAATACTGGGGAAGCCAGCACAACTTGTACAAGGTAAGGTCATGGAAGCTCCATAGACATCCTGAGGGACTGAACTGCTGGGCTGAGGGCTGTGGGGACCATGGTTTTAGGGAATATCTAGCTCAACTGGCGTAACATAGTTTATAAAGAAAATGTTCTTTATAAATCATTCTACTTTGGTGAGTAGCGTCTGAGGTCTTAAAAGCCTGTGAGCGGCCATCTAAGATACTTCACTGGTCTCACCCCTTCAGGAGCAAAGGAGAATGAAGAAAACTAAAGACACAAGGGAAAGATTAGTCCAAAGGACTAATGGACCACATCTACCACGGCCTCCACCAGATTGAGTCTAGTACAAATAGATGGTGCCCGGCTACCACCACTGACTACTCTGACAGGGATCACAAAGGAGTTTCTCAGACAGAGCTGGATAAAAATGTAGAACAAAATTCTAACACACACACATCCATACAGACCAGACTTACTGATCTGACAGACACTGGAAAAACCCCAAGAGTATGGCCCCCGGACACCCTTTTAGCTCAATAATGAAGTCACTCCTGAGGTTCACTCTTCATCCAAAGATTAGACAGGCCCATAAAACAAAACGAGACTAAAGGGGCACACCAGCCCAGGAGGAAGGACTAGAAGGCAAGAGTGGACAGGAAAGCTGGTAATAGGGAACCCAAGGTCAAGAAGGAAAGAGTGTTGACATGTCATCGGGTTGTTAACCAATGTCATAAAACAATATGTGTACTGTTTAATGAGAAGCTAGTTTGTTCCGTAAACCTTCATCTAAAGTACAATTTAAAAAAAAAAAGTGTCTCTTACCCAGTGTAATCCTGTTTAGAGTTCTTCCTTCTATATAGGACAGCAAGAATCATGCTGCTGAGCAGAGTGACACCTAGGACCACAGCAGAAACTACACTCACAACCACCCAAACTGGAAACATAGGCAAACTCTCTAGAAGGAAAAACACAATAGTTTTAAGGCACATTACTACAGAGAGAAGAAATGTGATTTGATTAAATTAATAAGCAAGTGCCTTCCATTAGTAGTTACCACACCCTCTTCTATTATCCAAATTATGAGATCCTGGTATCTAGTTGAAGACATACAAATATTAGCTAATAAAGAATGAACTGCAGAACTAAGAATTTCTACACACACAGTCTCTCTATTATGTACTGAATGCGTCCTCTCCAAAATAGGTACTGAAGTCCTGGCCCCTGTACCTGTGGATGTTATTCTGTTTGTAAATAGATTTTCTTTGTTATGTAAATGTGACCATACCAGAGTAGGGAAGGGGGGACAGACACCAAGGCATGCAAAGGAACTCAAACAAAGGGGGCTACCAACAAAGAAAGACCCTCCCATAGAGCCAATGCCCTAATTTGGACTTCTAGCATCCAAAACATCGAGACAATAAATTCCTGTTCTTTAAAGCCACCCACTTGTGATGTTTTTCTGTTACGGCAGCACTAGGTAACTAAGACACAATGCTTTAAAATAAAAATAATAAAAAATATAAAAACCTAGGGATGTGAATTTACCTCAGTCTATTCTCTAACAAAGCAGACTGTGTCTCAAAAATATGCATTTCCTGCTTATTCTCAAAAAAAGAAATACTATACCACTTTAGGAAATGTCAAAACTTTCTCCTGAAGAATATCAAAACAATATTCAGCTCCTTCTTTCCCACTGCTCACCGCATCCAACTATAATGAATTTGGTCTTCCAATCCACACTGAAAAATTAATACTTCTGAAATCAGATCAATAGGCTCCAGATAGCAAGTATATAAATGGAGCAATTGGCAACTCCAGTTTCAATGAGCAGCAGCTCCCTAACCCCTAGGCATGTTTAGTAGTCACAGGTCCACAGTAACAGGGAGCACAACTGTATGGCAAAAATACTCCCTTTAAACACACCCTGAAACGTAACTCTTGTTCTCCAGCTAAACATGAGATAGAGGGGGCTACATCATGACTGAGAAATACTCAAGGAAGTACCTTTCCCTACAAACATGGAACCTAATGTGTTCTGGCTGGACAACAATGTCAGGGGAGGGGTTTCACATCACAGATATAGTTGCCAATGTATAAACTGCATATTTTCTATGTTGATTGATGTGTCTTTCTTGTCCAGGTCTCCAGCCCATCTGGTTCTGCCCTTAAATGGTAGATAATCCCCGAGGTACTCTCGCCCTTGGGAGTAGTGGAAAAACTGCAATTAGGAAAAAAAAAAAAACAACGCATGAGCCATTTTCAAAGTCAGAGTCATACATTCTATAACAGGTATGCTGTCAAAGGTTCTCTTAAAAAGATACTTCATACGGAAAGAAAGGCAACCTCATATTACAAGTCTCAAGCTATGGAATCTAACCCAGACAGAGGTTTAGAGATCATGTTCAACTCTTGTCAGGTTTTCAGTTAAAGAAAAAGACTCACGTATCATCTCTAATCCACTCAATATCCCATGTAGTTATTACCATTCATATTTTTATAAAAAGAAGTCATTTGCCCAAGGTCACAAGGATAGTTAGGTAGTAGATCCAGAGTCAAAGTCAGGCCCATCTGACTCTTCCAAGATCACGCTCTTCCTACAACGCAATTGAGCCCAGTGAATCCAAGGGAGTCTGTCATAATTCACAGAACTTAACATTCAGATTCACAAAGGTACAAAGGAGCAGCATAAATACACGGAACAGTAAATCTGATGTGTTGCTCCCTCTTATTCATTAGTTTCCTGTGGAAAACTAATAGGTATGTGAAAGGAACAAAGCCTAGACAATGTAAGACGTTCTCGCCTGCCTTTGAAGGTTCAGCCTTTATCCCCTTTCTCTTTTCACTTTTCACTCTCTACTCAGACCTACTTTTAGCAAGGGAACTCATTTTTCAAGGTAAATCTGGTCAAACCCAGCACCCTGGGAGCAAGGTAAGCCCTAAACGGCAGGTATCTATTCTGATACTCAGCTTCAATCCAGCAGCTCAGCTAGAGGCTTGATGTCTTTGTTCTCATTCATGGATGGGGTGATGGGGGTAGACATCAGCATTAGTCAACCACTGAGCTGCACTGGCAATTCAAATAGAACAGTTTCAGAATCTTTTGTGCAGTGTAAAAACTCTTGTGCAACTGGAAAAGCGTGGTCGATGTCACTGAACTATGCACGTAGAAATTTTTGAAATGGTGTATCTTTGGCTGTGTATGTTTTCACCAAAAAAAAAGAAAAAAAAAAAAGGAGAAGGGAGAGGGTTGACATGTTGTGGGGTTGTTAACCAATGTCATGGAATAATATGTGTACTACTGTTTCATGAGAAACTATTTCTTCTGTAAACCTTCACCTGAAGTACAGTTAAAAAAAAAAAAAAAAAAAAACTTGTGCAATCTCATTCATTCCCATGATTTAACAAAAAAACTCTTGTGCAATCTCATTCTTTCCCATGATTTAACAACCGTCTATATTAACTCCCAAACCTGACTCCATCCATAAATGCTCCCCTGACCTCTGGACTCCTCACTCAATTGCCTACAGGTTTTACCACCTGATTGCTCCTGTCCCCAAGCTTATCACTCTCTTTATTCACCTTCTCCTACAACATCATCTTCTACCAGTGTATCTCATCTTGACTGATGGCCACCACTCTAGTCTCCCAATCCAGAAATCTTGAAGTAATCCTTGATTCTTCTAACTTCCTTCCCATCCAGTTAATCCTCCAAACCTGTGAATTCTACCTTGTTAAGTTTCTCTCAGTCCTCTCTTCTCTTTATTCAAGTCCCCCTGACAACACCTGAGTTTATGCTCTGATCATCCTGGACTTACTGCTGGGGCCTCTTAACTGGTCTCCCTGACTCCAGCCTCAACCTCCTCTAATTCATCCTCCACAATGCCTAAATGATCTCTGAAAAACAATGTAATAATAATAACAGTAAATTACCATTTATCAAATATCTATCCTGTGTTTAATATGACCTAAATGCTTGTCAAGAACTATGAAGGGTCTGGGATTTCACATTACTTGCAAGCTAAGTTAGCCCACCACAGGTTCATGGATGTTGACAGAAGACATGAAACTCCTGGGTCGGAAACAAGGGACCTTATTATTTATGACATAGCAATAGCACGAGCATGTTTTTATCAGTGCCCTTGCCCCCCGAGTCCCACACAGATGACATAGAAGGGCTCAGGTGGCTGTTGTGCATGCTGCAGTTTTGTATCACAGCTGAGGAATCCCAAATTAGAGAACCCTAATCTTTTATAATAGGAAAAGAGCTTTTCTGACCTTTGACCCAGATGGAGACATTATCTTTACTATACTGAACAGTAAGCAAACCTGTCTTCTGCTCCAGAGGAAGACACTACATTTTAAGGCTAGTCACTGTACAGAGTCCAACAAAGGCAGCCAGTGGCTCTGCTTGCAAGATGTCCAGAAATATGAGAAGTCCATGCATAACTGCCTCCCAACAACACTCTCTGATGCTCACAACCACCCTGCAAGTGGAGATTCACCTGCCTGATACTTCACCAGTCCAGGCATGCGGTTATTAGAGCCTAGTGGAGAGTAGAGAAGCAGGAAGTCTCAAAAAGGACTAGATGCCAGAAATGAAATAGGAAGAATCAGCAAACTTTCTTATTTTGGGGGTTCAAGGGAGAGGGAATGTTAGGGGATGGGGGAAAGATTTTTAAAAACCCATAAAACTCAAGATTTTAAAATTGGTTCTCAGAGGAACACAACTACCCTGAAAGAACTAGCATGGAAGGGAAACATAGGGGAGAAAAGAGGAGCTCAGTATTAGAAGTATGGATCTGGATTCCATGGACCTGGGCTTGCATACACTTTTCCTGCAAAATTTATAAAAATCAAAAGCATTCTGCTCATCTTATTAAATGTGTACTGACATTTGGGAGTTAAAGGATTTTTTATTGATAACTGAGCATTCTGGAGTTAATTGTAATCAGGCCAGTGTATTAATATAAGTTGACTAGCTAAAAACATTAATTGGAAATACAGCATGTTGTTAAGAATAAGTCTAGAGGTACGTAAACAGCCTGTACCACATCACAAGAATGTTTTAAGCACAAATGGAATAGCTCTTTGATAGAACGTTATTACTTCTGGGTATCTTCTGATGATGCCTTATTTTCTATAGTCTAAATAATGCCCCTCACATCTACTCTTGCAAAAGACCTAAGTAGAAAACTCTCAGCTGAAATAGTCCTTTGGTGTCTGGAGAAAACTGTGTGTGCTGAATTTTGCCTCTACAAGAACATTACTGTGTGTTCTACACTGATGTCTTGTTTCTGTGAAGAAGTGAAATGCTCTGTCTCTTTTCCCCTGACATTTGGGTGGATTCCTGTATGTGGCTCTCACCCACTCCTACACTTTATCTTGCACAAAATGACACCCATTTGGACCCAGTGAAGAAGTAATCTAAATGAAATCCCTCCCTTTACCTCACTCTTCCTTTCTTCCCAGGCACGGCACCTTTTTATAAATCCTGGGGCTCACAAAGTCCATTTAGGAATTTGGAATCAGCTGCATGTTCCAACACAGTGGAACAGTGCTCTTCTTTGGAATCTTATTTCAACAAAAAATCCATAGCTTTCATAATGTCACACGTAAAACTAAAGCTATTTAGTCCAAATGTAAAGATGTCTTTATTTCAAAGGCTACAGTCATGTTAACACATACTTCAAGTTTTCCCAAAGGAGGCCCTCAAAGAACTCCTGCCCTACAGACAATGGACAGGCTATCACCGCTTTTTCAGCAAGGGCATTGAGGGTGAATTCCTAACACAGAGGTTTTAAAAGGACCTTAGCAAAGAAAAAAATAAAAAAGACACTTCTGCTATGAGGCAGAAAATTCCTTTATAGCCACTGCAAAGGAGGGCTTCCTGTAGGAATTTCTAGGCCATGCCTTCTCAATAGGGGGGAGGGGCACAAAATGGACTCTTTGAGGAAGACAATTCTTACTCTTATGTGTAAAGCACAAATATACACGATATTTGTGATGTTAAAATTTCACGGGGTGGGGGTAGTATGGGTGGAGGGCACAGCATTAGGAAAACTGTCTAAAAAGGTTCCTGGGGGGATGACATGGGAAAAAAAAAAGACTGAGAAACACTGCTCCAGGCAATTTCTAAGGCTCATCCCACCCAACCAGTTGCCATCAAGTCAATTCTGACTCATAGTGACCCTATAGCACAGAGTAGAACTGTCCCATAGGGTTTTCATGGAGCGGCTGGTGGATTTGAGCTGCCGATCGTTTGGTTAGCAGCTGAGCTCTTAACCACTGCGCCACTAAAGCTCATAGGCAGTAAGGTTTTATTAACAAAGTTTTCCATCACAGAGACAAATAAAAAATGAAGAGTCTAGAGCAGAATACATAAGGAAAATAATACAGGACTTGGAGTTCAGCAAAGAAGGTCTGAACAGTTCTGGCTTGTGTGGTGTGACCATGGGAAAATAATGACTCTTTGAGCCATTTTTTCAATCCGGAAGTGGGGAAAATACCCCTTCCTTATAGAGTGTGAAGATTAAATGACATAAAGCATGTGAGAATGAAGTGCCCAGCATCCAGGCGGTGATCATCATCATTCAAAAGAAAAGGAACTGGGTATTCTTAGTTAAAGAGAGATGGTCAAGTACTAGCAACCTCAAATGTACAATACTGATAAAAAAAAGTGCCAATACTTAAAGGACATTCAACATAGAGACAGAAAGACAATAAAGTAATAAAAATTGTATATATTAGTCACTCACGAGATTGTACTAAAACTATAATAAACATTTTCTAGCCAGGTGTAACTAGCACCATCTAGTTACTAACCTTCGTTCCAACCTGCTGGCACTGTACTTCTGTTCTGCCATTTGCCTTACTCTGAAGTCATCTGTACAACAGTCTTACTCCTAATTGCTCCAACCAAGAGCAGAGATTGTGTTTTACACATTTTTTTCTTTTTTTTATATTTTATTGTACTTCAGGTGAAGGCTTACAGAACAAATAGTTTCTCATGAAACAGTAGTACACATATTGTTTTATGACATTGGT